AAGGGCATCGCTATTAGTAGCAAGGACGCTACTAGTAGCTCCTAGCATCACTACTGGTAACAAGAAGCTACTAGTAACAAAGGGCATCGCTACTCTACTAGCAGCTTCCGGCATGGCTACCAGTAACAAGAAGCTGCTAGTAACAAAGGGCATCGCCATCGCTACTAGTAGCAAGGACGCTACTAGTAGCTCCTAGCATTACTACTAGTAACAAGAAGCTACTAGTCACAAATGGCATCGCTACTAGCAACTTCTGGCATTACTACCAGTAGCAAGAAGCTACTAGTAACAAAGGCAAGGCATCGCTACTAGGAGCAAGGACGCTACTAGTAGCTCCTGGCATTAATTACTACCAGTAATATGAATCTACTGGTAACAAAGGGCATCGCTACTAGGAGCAAGGACGCTACTAGTAGCTCCTGGCATTACTGCTAGTAACAAGAGGCTACTGTACTACGAATACCCATACTTTCTTCCGCAGGGGCAAGGAAAACCCCGGTCTTCTTTGCAATTTGCGCATCCCAGATTAAACCGCGCCATCAGTATCATGACGTTGCATATGGGAAAAGAACGCTCGAATCTGCACGGCCTTCATAGGCTTGCAGTCCTTTTCTTCCCGAATCCTCACAGTACATCAACATGTTCGTAAATCTTTCATTGTGGGGTGGCTGGCACAGACCGCAGCATGCCAAAAGTAAACGGCATAAGCCCCACGCTTGTAGTTGTCGTTCAGGGCATCAATTGCATCCTGGCTTCAAAGCCAGGGTGTGCCACCGGCTGTGTTCATGGAAATATCGACTTATGTTGAAGTAAACTCTTCAAGACTTGCATGGTCTACATCCTCTACCCAAACGTCATGTCTGCCAGTCGTTTTAGGTCATAGCAAATGAGTCGCGCAGGTGTTCCTTTTTCTTCACTCGCCAGCATATGTCTGTAGCATGTCCACTGTATGCTCTCCACGTGCTATTGCGCCTAAATCCTGCAAAAGGGCACGAAGACGTGGACCTCTCAATCGTGCTAAGGCCTGCTGAGCAAGTTGCCTCAGCTTCCAAGGCTAAGTGCAAGTGCATTCCGCACTGTGACACTTGGTGCGTGGCCTGGTTGCCCTTGCCCACAATGACATGACATGACACAGTGCATACAAGTATCTTATCTGCAGCTGACAAAGAAGCCATGCAGGGTGCGTCGGCGGCAGCAGCAACAGTGGACAAGTAGACTTTTTCATGTCCTTCGAACACAGGCTTCAATTGTGAGCAAACAGGTGATGCAATCACTCTTGAGATCTCTTGCAGTCTTGGTGCTATCTTGCTGAATAGTGGCATGATCCTCCTCACTCCAACGTATGCAAAGACCTACAAACATGGAGCCTAGGATTTGCATTGCCATGGCGCTCTCTGCCATGGCGGAGAACACTTTGAAGATCTGCCCACTCATGCTCCTGTGCGGTTGGCACATGTTGGCACAAGCGCAAGCAGTAGGTTTTCAGCACTTGCTGCAATTATGCTGGTCATACATTCATGTAATTTCAATCTTCTGGACATCCTTCGATGCAGCAATGCAGTCATCATCCCCCCTACTGCCGTCCTTGGCCATTGTTGAAAGCGCCCAACAACTTGCTGTGCCAACGCCGAGACGTCACCATCTGACAAAGCCAACGTTCTTTGTGTTAGAAGGCGCTGCAGGAAAAGCAGCACGGGCTTAAGCACTTCATGCCTCAGCATTCGCATGGTCAAAAAAGCAAATACCGCTGTGATAAACAACAAACGTTGCGTGAGTGAAGTTGCCTACACGTTATTGACTGCACACTATCAGCTGAAAGTCAGACCAAACAGCTATAGTTATAAAGAGTTGACACACTTTTCCTACGGTCCTACTATCTGTGCTTACACTGGGCGGTCGGACTCTGTCGACTGAAGAGCTGCAATGCAAAGCTGCGACAATGGCGCCAAGTGTTGCGAAGCAAACAAAGTGTCGCCTCAGCCAGCTAGTCACAGAGTCTCATCGTCATGTGCACCACTATGAGCAGTTGCAATTGATGTGCAAAGGCAGGAGTTTGCGGCTTCTACTGTAACTTTTCAAGTAACTGGAGCCTCGTCGTCTTTTCCTTTTCCATGGTCAACAGTCAAGATTTCAAAATGCACGGCCGATGCCTGCAAAACGCTTTTAAGCTCCGAAATAAATGGGTTTGTCACCGCCGCAGCATGGTTGCAACACTTTTGTCATCGTCTTACAAGGGCACGCGATAGTTCTAAGCCCAGCACCCACAGAACCCGCCAATGAGGAGCATAGGTCCAAGAAGGGAATCAGGTCCTCTTATTCTGGGTACAAGTAGCACTTCTGAAGAAAAGCTTTTTATGAAAATATCACACACGCATGAGGCCAGCGTGAGAGAGTTTGGCAATTGTGATTATAGTTCCGTCAACCCAGAACTGGTTTTTGTGATGATGTTAATATTAGATTCAATCATGAATCAAGCACGCATAAGCACACTATAAGTACAGTATCTATAAGTTCCCATGGCGGCCGATGTGCAGCTGCATGTCATGTCTGTCTCCTCGGCAGGCCCACCTTTTTGAAGGTGCATCCTGGCGGTGCCAAAGCTTTGGAATCGTTCTCGTCGCTACTAGGAGCTAGAGGACGCTGCTAGTAGCTCCTGGCATTACTACTAGTAACAAGAAGCTAGTAGCAGCTAAAAGCTACTAGGTGGAGGCCATCGCTATTAGTAACAAGGGCATCGCCATTGCAGCCAAGCAACAACACTGTCTTGCTCACCAACTCCTAGGTTGCAGCATTCAACTCGCCTGCTGGTGGCCAAAAAGCTCCCTACTTACCTTGCACCTGTTTTGCGTGCTTAATTGAGTATGCCGCCACCCTAATACCCACGACGTGATGCACACAGCCAACCAACTGGAGACCGACAAAAGCGATATGCTTGACAATTACTTGCAAGTTGTACAAGCTCAAATCCTGCATTGACATTGTTCATTGCAGGATTCTGCGGGCAAGTAGCCAACTGGGGAAGAACATAGTTCTGTGCCAGTGGAGGGCTCTCTGCCATCTGCGCCATGGCAGCCAGAACAGCTAGTTGACCTTCCTGGATACGGGGCCATGAAGAAATTAGGCTGCTGTACGCTGTACATCTGCGAAAGCAAAAAGAGAATCCTATCCACCTTACATCTTATTAATCTTATATAATTAGGGTGTATAATTTGTGTATATATACTGTATATATACATATATAGCGGACCCGCCTGACAGCAAGAAACAAGCATTTGCTGCAACTGCTGTGCCAAGTCGGCGCTCTCTGCTTCGCACGCAGCACGGCCGGCCCGCCGCAGCAAAGCAAGCACGTTCACTTGCAAAGCGACCTGAAAAACATCCGAGATGAGTTTTGAGATGGCAAAGCACGGAAACTGACGAACATGTGTGTTGATGTGTGTTTGTTTTCTATGGATTCTGCAGTTTCGACCTTGGCTATCAGGATGACGAACTTGCCTTCAAGGTGCATCCGAGTACTCAAAGATTGGCCGACCCTTTGCAGCATCTTTCCCTACAGGAGCAGCTAGCAGAATCTGTTGACAAGGCGGCGCCAAGGAAGTCCTAAGTCGAAAGATCAAACAACCAAAAGGACAACCAGTATGGATACCAAGTTAGCGTATATAAACTAGACACACGCATCTGCAGGGACCACAGAGCAAAATGTGCTGGTCGGGAGCATTGATGTGGTAGCTCCCTCACTGGCACAAAAAGTTGCATGCAAGCAAGGTGCCAGCAGGACAACAGAAAGCCTCGGTGGGCTTTCCTCTGTTCACTTTATACAACTCGCATGCAGCATGCAACAGTCAGATTGATTCAGATTGTCATTGTGCCCTACTCTGCCACGAAGGCAACGTGCATAGGAAGAATGTTGCTGTTTCAAGACAAGTGTCTCGCTAGGCAACTCGAAGCCGTTCTTGCTTCCGGTGTTGGACCAATTCCCTGTTGACTACTGCCGGCTTGCTCCATCACCTAAGCAATTTGTCCCACATGTCCCTTTCACAAACACTGCCACACATGCCTAGTTTTTGTAAACACATGCCATACTATGTATCGGCCACTTCAGCCAAGTGGCGGAGTCACATCGCAACAGCCGGCAAAGGATTCGATGCAGCATCATTCGCCCTGCACAAACATGTCAAATAACTGGGCAATCAACCAGTATGATGATTCATGCATGAAGCCACAAGTTCAAGCTGTCGCTTGTACTCCCCCTATGGCCACTGTGCAAGAATACTGTATTGACCTATAGCCAGCCCGATCTTGTTCCCTGAAGTCCGTTTGACGCACCACACTGCCTGCATCACTGGAGGTATCGATCCCCGTCTTCAGGCTTTCTGCGGAACCTCGCAGCCATGAACCGCACTGACATAATGTCGATTTGGAATCGTGGTAGGCAGCAAAAACTGTCACCTTTCAATAATTAGCAAAACCGTTTTTTTCTAAGTTTCTATATACGTATATATATATACAATTATATATATATACAATAATAATATATCGAATATATAACTTGTGTGTGGGTTCAGTTCTGTTGTTGCCACCCCGCATGCACCCTGACACCAGCGTGCAAAGACAGGTGACAGGAGCGCATGGGACGCGCTGGCCTTGAGGGCTGCCAGCCATGGTCTACTCACAAAATTCAATGTATACATATAGCATTATATAGCTGACTGTATATAGCACGGCTTGCCGCCATATCAAACCCTCGGAATCAAATCGAGTGCATGTCTTGTTCCCAGACATCAAAGGCATTCAATAACAGCTGCGAGTCGATACACCAAGTGAATCCGCTTTCACAAACACAGCGGCAAACAACTATATAACTAACAGCTGGCAGCCAGCTTGTACTCTTTAGTATCGATGCCAAGCGGGTTTGCTCAATGCGTACAAGAACTTAGTCTTCATTTGCGTTGCTCATGTCTCGTCTGAAACACCTGTAGACTCGCCCGTGAACATTCTCTTTGGATCTTCTGTGCAATTTCCCAGCACTATCACTAAGCAAACCCTTTTCCAAATATTTATGAGTGTCATCATTGTCGATGACCGTCAAATGACTACATATGTTCTTTAATGTTCTTGTTTGTTATTCTTGTCAAGAAGTTGATACCAGTCCCGCATCATTACAGTTGTCTACAAAAGCTGGGCTAAAGCTGCACGCGCACCACTGCTGCCAAAGTACCCTGGCAAACTTGAGCAAAGCCCATAGGCAATTGGTCTGCGGGAAGGTTTCGCCTATGATGGACAATGCTTGCTGGCATCTTGCAGCAATTGTCACTAACATTAATCAACAACCTTTTGCATCCTTTTGCAAGATTCAAGCAAACCAGAAGGCTGTTAATAAAAACAGTACCTTGCCGCCAGTACTTTTTCAACAAAGTCGTAGCATGTCCTAACACCTAACAAAGGACTTTGCTGGTGTGAACGCCATTCCTGTCAAGCTGCGCAATACCAACTAAAGCACCGTGCAACGCGGCATCAACCTCGCTGGGTGCCGCTGGCGCGACCTGTCCAAACCGAGCGACAAAGACGAGAATGGTGCAAAACGGCTTTGCACGTTCTTCGGAGCAAAGAGAAAGAGACAGAGATAGACTCCAACCTAGTAGCGATGGCCTCCAACCTAATAGCATGCTCCTTTAAGTTGTAGTTTGTGCACTCTTGCCTTTACGACTGCCTTGAGGAATTCCTCCACAAATGGCAAAAGAAGCTTTCCTGCATACCTTGGGTTTGCCAGGGTCAAAGTCCACAGTGTGCAAAAAGCCAATCCTTAAGGACTCCTCTGACTGTACCTTTTTCTTGGTGTGAGTTTGCCAAAACTTATCAAGGCTTAGCGGCCCACAAAGCTCTTGAATTGTTTCGGAGGCTTCCACAGGTATCTGCTCCACCCTCGTCATCAGCCACTGCACAGCTGGAGGCAAGTGCGCCTGATTGGCCATGTCGACTTCCAACACAAGCCCATCGATCGGCAGGTCTTGTGGTGATGCCTCCTAGATGCATTTCACCAGCAACAACTCGAAGTTTGGCACTGGCCAAAGCATCTATTATAGCCGTCTGGGCATACCAAGTCACCTAGGACCCCTGGGAGCCAACCCCATTTCAGCCTCCAAGGTGATGAAATGGGGGGGTCCAAGATTTCATGATTTTCGCATCATTTTACATGCCCTGGATAAATTGAGAGGGGCCAACATTGCAGACTCTAGAAATCTCTGTATGTAGATTCGGCACAGTGGTATCAGCACACAGCCAGAGGCAAGGGCTTGCCTGCAGCATGCCAACAAAAACAACCAACATAAACAACCAACATAACCCAGAGGTGACAAAGGACAAATACTGACACTTGACAAAATGGTAATAGCCAACGCGCAATCGGCTACACAACAGACACAACAAACAAAGGTCAGCAATCTAGAGTTCTCTCTCTCTCTCTCTGTCTCTCCCTCTCTGGTCCAACATCAGTTTCTAAATCAAATGGAGGGGTCCAACATCAGTCTCCACATGAAATGGGGGGTCCAACATATGGCTCCTAAAGTCATGTCATTACCACACGTAGAAAGTCTCTGGCTAAAATCCCTCTGATAAAAGGGGGGTAGCCAACATCAGATCCAATCCAAATAGATATTAAAGTTTTAACATAGGGTTCTTGTCCAGACTCATTTTATTGTTGTGGCCTTCAAAATCAGGTCGGTCCCCTGGCAAAAATCTATCTCCTTCCAGGGGCTCAAGTCACCCGATTTTGGCCTCCAAGGCCAGACGGCTCTATCTATTTACAGTAAATCCTTTCCTCCACTATCTGAACTGGTGGATCCCACATTTTATACTTGATGCCGCGATGCCAAACAACATGTCAAGTTGATGCCGATGCTCTCGCGGTCGTCGCCTGCAAATGGTGTTCATAATGAGGACCACATGCCCGCAGTAAGGCTGCGCCCGTGCTGGAGACTTCGGCCGGGGCCGCAACAACCTCAAGCCGTTGAGAGAAGCTCTAAACGGGTCCGGCATGCAAAGTCTGACTTTTACTCCACTGTATGAAATCTTATGAATCATTTGCCTCACAGCGGCTTTGACCACCGAGCGAAGCACCACATGGTAAGCATCCGGGACGTTGGGCTCGTCTGCGATGACCTCTGCAATGCCTGTTGCATTGACACATGGATATAGGATGACCTAGGGTTGTAAGCTGTACCGCAAGATGTCAATGAATGCATTGGAATAAGGGACAGTGGGGACAGTACACCCTGCCGCGAAACTACACCCCCAGCAACTTGAGGCCGAGGGTAGGTGACGAAAGCTAGCAGGGGTGCATCCGGACTGGTGGGACATCAAGCGGAGTGAGGCAAATGCTCATGAGGTAAAACGTTGTGAACATGTAAGACACACAAACAGCAATGACACAGCCAACCTTCGAATTGAAGTCCCCGACAATTAAGGAAGCGTGGCTGGACTTTGCCACACTGTTCGATGCATCCGATGTGTTCACGAACCTGTGAGCTTGTTGAATCTGTTGCACCGTATCCCAAAACCTCCACGGAGGTGTTGAACCAGTGATGCCATAAGAGGTGCCCAAGAGGTGTCCCAGAGGCAAAACAAAGCTGCTTGCATGATTTGTTTGGTTTCTTCTATCGATGTCGATGTCATGAACATGTGAGCTTGTTGAATCTGTTGCACCGTATCCCGGAGGAGTTAAGCCAAAGTGGATGCCATAAGAGATGCCCGAGAGGTGTCCCAGAGGCGTCCGAGGGGGGAGTTGAACCCACGGGGGGGGGGGGCCCCCCCCTACATATGAAGTTTTCACGTGATGCGGCGATCCCGAGGATTCCAGCCCCTCACTTGCTAAAGCAAGGACAACTCCAGCTAGCTGGTGCTAGCTTTCGTGATTAGTTATCGAAACTTGAAACTGTCCCGCACCTTGGAAAGCATACCACACCACCTCCAAACCCAAAACATCTCCTGCAGATTCGGCTTGATCCATTCGCTTCAACCTGCCATGCCATGGCACCGCCCATGGGGCCCAACGACTCTGAGTCCCAAGCTCAAAACGGGAAACGTCCTTGGAACTTTCGGTTTTTGACATACTGCATTCCTAGATGCATGCGTATGCTGGTGCTCTTTCCGGGGTACAGCTAGGAAGGCATGGAAAGTCACTCCCGCAGTTTGGCTGCTTTACTCTTCCCCCTCACTGTGTTCACATATAACCATAGAATAGACCAAAAACAACATGAGTACAGCTAAGTATGACACTGTAGGAGTCCGCTGTCGAGCCACAGCGTAGCAAGCACAAACTGGGCTTCTGGAGTTCCAGCTGCCACGCAATACCTTGCACGCTGGAATTTCTGAAGCAAGGGCCACGGTGCTTTAGAGGTCCTACGAAGTCAGTGGCTTTAACACTGGAAGTGACTTTAAGTTCAATATGATTCAGCTACAGGGTAACATTGATTCTCTGCTGGTTGGCCGAGCTATCAATTGTTGTGTTGGGTGCATCCAGGCTATGTTTAAGCATCTGGAGTCCAACAGTATCCGAATCCTGCAACGCATCGATCGCCGATGACCGATCAGTATGCAATGGAAATTGAAATGGCAAGCGCAAGCGGCGTACTTAAGTCAACCCACGTCGCGTGAAATCAACTCACTGCACAAGGTTTCAGCGAGAAGTCAGCCCACTCGCGTGAAGTCGACTCATTTCGGTCAAACCACAATGGGCACACTTGAAAAGTGAGCGCAGCATGAAAGTGATATGTTCAAAGAAAACTGTGTGCACACTGTGTTATGGCTGGCATTTTTGCCTTGCTTTCTAAGATGTTTCAAGCCCAAATCTCCATGGCACAGTGCCATTCACACCAATGCACAACTTAGAGAACGGCTAGGTTGCATGCGCACACACACATGTGACACGTAGGCCTCTGCGCGAGCCCCGCGCGAGGTTCGCGCGAGCACGACTCCTACTCCTACAGCTTTCTACGGTCAACAGAACTGTGGCAAGCAGCAGCAGCAGCAGCAAAGACAGCAACTGCAGCACACCAGCAGCCGCCAACCAGCACAGCAGCCGCCAACCAGCAGCAGCAGCAACAGCAAACCAGCACAGCAACAACAGCATCAGCAAACCGGCAGCATCGGCAGAAGATCAGCTGGCCCGAAGATCCTTGCAATTGTGGCATGGTAGCAGAAATGAGAATCAAAAGGACATGTAATGAACAATTGAAGGGAACAAAACTTTCAAACAAAATAGAAAACACGAAACAGGCGAAGGAAACTGGACGAAATATGACGAAGTTGGTAGTTATATAGCGTATATAGATTAGTTAGTCATATTGCCGCAATCCGTTTAAAACAGTAAACATGGTACAATGAATGTGGACGTGACAGTATATAACATCTTTAGATTCTCTAAACAAAACCGGAAGCAAAGGGAATCGAGCATCACGAGGTTTCACCCATGAGCCACCTATAGTTTGGACATACATACGCAGGCTGAGAAAAGCAAAACATTGAGGCCATCATGTGTGCTACAGAAAGAGTTGGGTTGTTTATGGTTGTTTCACGCATTCACGTATTTTCACCCTGGAGCAACTGCACGGACCTGCAAACAACATCCTACTTCACTGCGGCACAACCGCACCAACCTTCCAAACCAGCTCATTGAATCATCAAGAAAAGGATTCGCAAATCTCTCGATCACGACAATCTGAGCCCCTGGCATGTCCACCAAAATGTCAAGCTGTGCACTTCGCATGTGCACCAAGTCTGCACGATCTTCTTGTACGTCAAAGCGGCTGAATCTCATGAAAGAGCAAATGCTCCTTGGAAAATATGACATGTCCAAAGTTCCAAGCGTTTTTTGCACTTGGCGGGGAAAAGCAGTGCAACGCGGAATCATGTGCTGAAGTGAAGTGCTTTTCGTGCAAAAACAAGGAGCGGTTCCACAAGCCGCTGCAGGATCCTCGGCATCACACCTTCAGGGAGCTTCCCATCTCTCTTGGCATCCTGCAGCGCTGAGCCATCAGGTCAAAAATGGACAAGGGCTTTTCACTCGCAACAGTGCCTTGCATAGATTCAAGATTGAGTACGATTTCACACTTCTGTAATGCTTAATTAGTGACTGAGCGGCAAGCATTGCAGAGTTCATGGTGGCTTTTTACGCTTGTTACAACAATCATCCGCAACCTTCTTATTGACTGGACAACAAAGATCACAGGTTGCAGCGCATCCACATCCGAAAGTCTCAAATCTGCACTGCACCTTCAAAACAGCCCACAGCTCGGACACCGCTTGGGCAACTCTCGAGTGCACCATCAAACACGCACCAATGAAGCGCAGCCTTGGCTCCGGCCATCGGGCTTGCAAACCAAATGATATTGCATCGACACTGACACCACCAGTGGCTTTATTACCAAAATTCTCAGCTGCATCCAGGTTTCAGAATCTCAGACACATCCTGGTCCAGCCACAAGAGTTGAGTATAAGCTTCAATAAGATTACCAGCCTCAGCTCTTGCAACAACGACCTGGTGTGGTCTTTGTTCATACATCCTCACTTCAGCAATCTTAGAACTATATTGGCAATGTAAAGTGCAATCATATGAATGCCGAAGTGCATCAACATACCAACTACCACACATTGCACACTCAAACAGTGTGATGGTAGGGTTGATTCATTGACTAGTCAAGTCACCACCTCTGCCCAGCGTGCCAGCCGTCGAGCATCATCATCATCAAGCTGAGATGGATTTGCCGCGCGTTGCTCCAGGCTGGGCAACATATTCTGCATCCTGGTTGCTGGCGGTGTGTCCATGAGATAATTTCCCGCCGCATTATAAGCCTATGACATCTTGTGACATGACAGCCCACATTCTGCGCTTCACAAAGCAGCAAACGTAGCAAACGTTGACCTTCAACACATCAATGTAGCTCTTGCCGAGGCAATCCAATCAATGACGGTTTTGAATGGTCTTTGCATACAAGATGCGATCGCGTAACAGCTACCAACGTCCTCTGTAAACCGGGAGCCGCACTTTGTGCCTGATTGCTGTAACAGCATTATTTTGCTCTGTACTGCGTGATTGGTCCTTCAGCTCTGTCCCTTTGACATCGCGCTTATTGTTTCTACTAGCTTCTTGTTACTACTACTAAGGCCCTTGTTACTAGTAGCGATGCACTTGTTCCTAGTAGCGTCCTTGTTCCTACTCTAATTAAAGTCCCTTTAAACCGTATTAAACCAAAATCTTTGCCGCAGTGCTGGCTCGTAGATGAGGAAGGCACCATTGGAGCGGCGCAGCACTTCTAAAACCTCAGACTTGATGCTGTTGAGGCACCCGAAATTTCTGTTGGCCCGCAAATCTCAGGAACATGGCGACGATCGGTATTGATTAGTCTGACTCATGAATCGACAGGTAGAACTTGGAACTCTCAATCATAGCACTTTGCAATGCAGTCTGCTGCAACGTCGCTGCAACATCTGATGTGCGGAATGGTTCGGGCAAATCCCAAGCATTGGAGATTGCGCTTCCAAGACGACATTGAGGTGTCTCTCTTTACCAGGATGCGCTTTTCAATGCAGCAAGAACCACCATTCTTGGCCCACATGACTCTTGTTAAATTGAATTGCCCTCGCAACCCATGTGGCGCCCTTTGTCATCTTTGTTGGCCTAAGGTATTGAAAGCCCAGGTGCAGTGTCCAAAACGACGTCAGAGTTTACGGCAGGGCTTCCTGAGTGCACCAACTTTCCATCCAATTCAAGCGGCACCAAGATTGTAGGTCGCAGATCCAAATTGTTGAATCGTTGGTTAGTGTGTGCTACAAGTGGAGGCAGGTAGGTGGAGAGAAGTGCCTGTCTTACAAAGCTTGGATGCACAGGCTTGCTCCCCAGGCTCCAATCAAGCCAACAAGATATGTGGAAAATGCCTCATGCTCAAGGATCTGCAGTCCCATAACCTCCGCTGAAGGCATGCCGGGAAACAGCTTAATTATTCTGTGACAAGTTTCCACAAAAGCATCAATCTCGATTATGAACTTTGCCAATCCATATCAAAATGGGACGGGCTATACTGCTATACGAAGCATAGCCTAGCTATATGCATCTTTTTGTGGGTTTAATATGGTTTAATGGCCCTCCTACACCAATGACAATCCACTTAAAACGAAAAGCACTTACATCGTTCGAGCTGCTTTTGACCATTGGCTCACCGTCTGCAAAGCCAGCCTCGTGACTCGTGACGAGGAGTGTCAAGGGCCACAATAAGGTGAAGCAACCAATAACATAACAAAAGGTAGCTCAAAATACGCATGACCGACCAATCAAAATTGCAAAATCATCCAATGGCAAAGTGCGGCAGAGCCTACTTGTTATATAATACTTATTGCATCTTGTTACTTCCCCACATCTTAGTGTGGGGTTCTTCTTTTCTATGTCTCACCCGCCTCCCGCCGCCTCCCGCCGCCCACTTCCCGCCGCCGCCTGCGCCTCCTCCCTCCACACCGAGACAACACACACAGAGACAACACACACAGAGATCACACACACAGAGATCACACACACCGAGACAACACACATCACACACACACACAGAGATCACACACACCGAGACAACACGTACAGAGAACACACCGAGACAACACACACACAGAGACAACACACACCGAGACGACACATACAGAGATCACACACACAGAGATCACACACACCGAGACAACACACACAGAGATCATGTGCAGATTGCGTGGCAGGCGCAGCACTTTGTGACAACACACACCGAGACGTCACCAGCATTCGTGGCAGGCGCAGCACTTTGTGAACCTCCACGTGCAGAATTCGTGGCGGGCGTAGCACTTTGTGAACCTCCATGTGCAGAATTCGTGGCAGGCGCAGCACTTTGTGAACCTCCACGCTCCGTTAGAGGCTGTGGGTGTTGCGTTGTCTGCGGTTGTCTGCGGTTGTCTGCGGTTGTCTGCGGTGGTCGCCGGTCCGTCCCTCTATTGTGATTGGAGTATTCATTTGTTTCTTGACGTGCAGAATTCGTGGCAGGCGCAGCACTTTGTGAACCTCCATGCGCAGAATTCCTGGCAGG